TGGCTCTGGGTGGTGACCTGTGTGGTTCCTTTTCCTTTAATAGTCTCTGCTTTCTCTGCATCCATGCCGTAGCTCAGTTAGGTCAAGGCCACCAGGTGGGGCTCCACAGCTCATCCTTGGGTGGTGAGTCTTAGGAGCAGCTGCTCCTCCTGTAACTCAGAGGCAGAAGAGCTAGGAACAGTGGTCCCCTAACGCTGGGCGCTTGATCAGAGCCTGACTCCTGAGCCTCACCCCCAGAGATTCTGATTGGATGGAACTGGGAAGCCCCAGAATCTAACTTTTTAACAAAGCTCCCAGGAGGTCCGCTATAGGTAGGGAAACATTACACTGAGGCATTTATCTGTTCAATGAAAATAAAATCGCGATAATCAATGAATAAAGGTGGAACCTACCTAAGTCCTCCAAGAAATAATCCCTCTCGGCCCCCACTCTGGAGATTGACGCTGGGTAGTGTCAGGCTCTGTGTGCAGTAATGGGCTCTTACAGTTGAGAAGGACTTGATGGCACCCTCTATTTTAGGCCCTGCCCAGTGCAGAGCCTGGTCCAGAGCATTGCAATAGCCCTGCCAAGGGTGCTCAGTTTCTGCTTGAATGCCTCCAGCAGCAGGAAGCTCACCTGCCTAGGCAGGTCACACCCACCACCACGTGTGAGCACCCCTGTTTGCTATTTCTTTTTCAGGGAGCTGAATCTGCCTCCCAGTCCACAGTCTATATCCACTGGGAAAACCAAATAATACTACTCTTCCTTCTCACAACACATCTGTAAATACCTGGAGACAGCATTCTCCTCTGCAGACTAAACTACCTTTCATTTGCAAATGGTCTTTGAACATTTCCTACAAGTGGGGAGACATAAGACAGATAGGCTATCTGCTAGGAGATCTAGAACAGAAAATGGTAACTAGTGGTGAGAAGAGAATAAAACAGGTAATATGGTAGATTTGGGGTAGGAGTGCCTATGTAGATAAGAGATGGGGGGTAGGGTGACACTTGAGCTGAGGTTTGCAGGACAACAGAGAGCACCCCTGCGGTGATAGAGATGGAGTGTTCCAGATTAGGGGTCCGCAGGCCCTGAGGTGGGAACAGCTGGGTGTGTCCAGCTGATGAAACAAAGGCTCAAGCAGTTGGAGCACAGAGATGGGGTGGGGTTACAATGGTTGGAGGAGGGGGAGAGTCCATGGCTTGTGTAGGGCCTTTAAGTCAGGAGAAAGAATTTTAATTTTACATCAAAAGAAATAGGAAACCACTGCCCTACTTTTGGTTTAATGACACAGTAGATCTTTTTTTTGTTTGTTTTGTTTTGTCTTATTTTATTTTGTTCTTTCTAGTATGATGCTACTATCATGGGCATTTAGTTATACAAATGACACTTACAAAAAAATAAAAGACCAAGACACCCAGAGTGAGATGCATGGCGGACAGGGTGTTTGGGGGGGGCTGGCAGGGGGGCAGCTGGGAGCCAAGGGTCAGGGTTGGGTGTCTCTTCACAGACTCCGAGCTGTGGGTGACACCTGGCTTCATCCCACCCCAAACCCAGACTCCTCAGACAAAGAGCACCATTACGCTGACTGGAGGCTCTGGTTGGGTGGGCAGGGGGGTGGGGCCAGTGAGCACCCCTGGGAGGTAGAGGCAGGTTCTGGGTCTGGGGATGTGCTCTCCCTGCTCCACCACTAGCTAGCAGAGGCACCAAGGCCTGGAGATGCTGCCCGAGGCTTACCTGTGCCACCTCCAACAATGACATTTCATTAAAAAAAAATGCTTTCACCCTCCTGGCCCTCTAAATCTAGAGGGCACATGTAAATTAACAGAAAATGGTAATTGGTGATGAGAAGAGACTAAAACAGGTAATATGGTAGATTTGGGGTAGGAGGGCCTAAGTAGATAAGAGATGGCGGGTATGGTGGCATTGAGCTGAGGTTTGTGGGCCCTCCCCTAAAGGAGCTCCTGTGTTGCCTTGAGAACCAGTACAGCCCTGGAGCTGGTCTGCTGAGCCCAGAGCACAAGCTGATAGCTTCACTGCCTCTCCTGCACATAGAGCAGCTCTCCAAGAGTATGGCCTGCTAATGTGCATCGCCACTCCTCTTTAGAGTTATGGTTAGTCCCCAGGAACCATATCTGTACAGTAGGTCCTTGCGTTACATTGGAGATCCGTTCCTATGGTACAATGTAACGTGATTTTCACCATAAGTTGGAAGCCACCTACATAAGCACCTACAACACTCACATGGAGCACTACAAAGCAGTAATGAAGTGAAGCAGTAAAAAAAAACTTAAAAGAAAGAAAACAATTCCTGATCTTTACATGAGGTAATAAATAATAATTAAAAAAAAAACATAAAGCACATATGTACATAAGTCGAAATTATGGAACTTTTTTATATATAAATAAATAGGAGATGGCGACGTAACCATGAAACAATGTACGTCAAGTCAGATGTAACCCGAGGACTGTCCATATATATATATATATATGCCTAAGTGACTGTACAACCGTTTTGACTGTTCCACCAGTAACTATTATGCACACTGACCACCACCAGGGGGCAGATACTCAAGGCACAGGCATATTAACATGGAACAGACTGATGTATCTCAGAGGGGAGCAGGGAAGAGGGGTAGGAAGAGATTAGCCAAAGATCTTATATGCATATTAGAGGCCTTGTGCACGGATTTGTGCACCAGTGGTGTCCCTCGGCCTTGCCTGTGGAAATTGGGCCAAAACCAGCAGTCTGACATCCCCTAAGGGGTCCCAGACTGTGAAAGGGTGCAGCCCAGTCAAGGGACCCCACCAGTGCACTGGGCCTCTAGTTTATGTATAAACCTCAGAATGCAGAAATAGTGCCATTGAATCTAAAATGCATATGCCCACACACACAAGGACTTTGGGTTCCTTTTGCAGGAAGTGGGTACTTAATACCTATGGGTCCTGATGTCAGGGGACTGCAGCCCAGTGTTGGGAGAGAAAGCCCACGGCTGATGCTTCTTCCCTATGACAGGACTCTACAGACCAAGGAGGCCTGCATTCCTATGCTGCTTTGGGTGGATGTATGAGGACATGAGGAACGGAGTGGATGACTTTATTCTACTTTGGGGAACTGCTGGGGGAAACACCGGCTTTAGCTGACCGCAGGGACCGGTGGCCAGTTTCCTGCTGCCAGAGCCCAGGGACAAGGTAGCCAGAGCCGAGTCTTCAGGGCACAGAGCCCTGGGCCAGCCACGGGGCTATTCTGGGGGCAGGCTGGGATCGTCGTCAGTGCAGGCTTATTAGGACCAGACAGACAGCCCTGAGGAGTAAGGACTAGAAACAAGACCAAGGTCCCAAAAGGGCAGAACATATTTGAGAGCGTGGGAGTCTCTTCCACCTGAGCCCCCTGCACCCGGAGGTGGGGTGAGTGTCATGCGGGGCTGGGAGCCCGTACCATGAATTGAAATTTGAAGTAAGAAGCAGTGGAGTGGGCCCGATGCTGGTTGCAGGGCCTAATAGGGACCCCTCGTGCAGACAGGAGGCCCTGCCTGCCCAGGACTACACATGCATGATAAAAGGAAAAATGTGTGCCCCGTCTATGATGCCCGTTACCTTGGGTCACACGTTCCATTACCTGGAATGGTATGTGCTGGCAGGCCTCTGGGCCTGGCCTGGTGCTCAGCAGAGTGAGATCCAGGTATGGCCATGGTTCCTGCCTCCAGTCGATACTCCTGGGTGATCCCAGGGGGTCCTGAGGACACCAGAGGCTTCAGACAAGTTTGGTGGTGGGATGGAGCTGCCAGTTCTGGAACTTTGTTCTTCCAGAAGAGCAAAGCATAAGTGCCCATGTTTCATTCTGGGGTCACTGTTGCCACGTGGGCTTAGAGATAGAGTGCTGTGTGGGTTCTTCTTGTTGCAGCATGAGTGCTTTTCTCTCAGACACTGTGAAAATTGCCTAGCAGTCAGAGGGTCCATTTCAAGCAAATAATGTAGGCTTTGGGGCCCTTAGGGCTGAGCCTGGGGTCCCTCTGCAATGCCATCAGTGGCCCAGGGCCCTGGGGGGTTTTAGGTAGACACCACGGGAGTGAGACACAGAGGCTGAGTCACTCACGCGAGCCCACCAGGTGGGGATGCGGGAGCCGGGGGTGTGAGAATGTGTGTCCGTCTACAGTGGATTGGTCCTGAGTGTGAGCGAGCCTGTGCATGCGGGTGGGACCCCTGGGTGAGCCTGCTGGTTTCCCTGAAGTCTGATCCAAATGCGCCTGAGCTCCCAGATGGTGAGTATCCCCAGACCCTGCACCTGGCCTGCCAGGCAGGGGAGGCCTCCATGGCTCCTGGGTTCAGTGCAGAAGGGCAAACCATGAAGCCCCTGGAGCCCAATGCCCAACGCTGTTCCTAAAATGGGGAGAGGGAGGGGGAAGGGGAGTGTTGGGCTTCCTATTGTGCCTAACATCCCCACACACCAAAAGAATCCCAGGGAACCCTCTGCCACCCCATTGGGGAAAGTGTGTCCCATCTATGATGCCCATTACCTTGGGTCACATGTTTTATTACCCGGAAGGGTATGTGCTGGCAGGCCTCTGGGCCTAGCCTGGTGCTCAGCAAAGGCAGAATGAGACCCCATTGAGGACCCTGCCCCTGATGGCTCCAGGAGCCCCAGCCAAGCCTGAAACAAGTGAGCACCGCCTACCTCCTGCTCCCAGGCTCATGGGGTCCAGCAGTGGGCAGGTCTGGGGGAGGCGCAGGAGTGCAGAGCAGAGATGGGGACCATTTCCCAGTCCCCACTCTCATCTTGACTGTGTCCCCTGATCTCTGAGATGAGGTTTCCACCTTTCTCTTGAAGATATATAGATACTCTGTTGTCTGGACACATACAACACCAGGCAAGGTGCACCTCCACATACAAATGCCATGACTGTGTCCTCGGGGCTGTGGGCCCGCCCCCACCCTCCTGGGCTGCTGCTCACAGGGCCCAGGGTCTCCATTTCAGTGTGTTAACCACCAGCCATCCCTCTCTCTCCCTCCTCCCACTCAAGCCAACGGCAGCCCCACCGCAGGCCTGAGCACCGGGGCCATCGTGGGCATCCTCATCGTCACCTTTGTCCTGCTCCTGGTGGTCGTGGACATCACCTGCTACTTCCTGAACAAGTGTGGCCTGCTCATGTGCATCGCCGTCAACCTGTGTGGCAAGGCGGGGCCCGGAGCCAAGGGCAAGGACATGGAGGAGGGCAAAGCCGCCTTCTCGTGAGTGCAGACCCACCATGACCACAGCCTGGGCCCTGCCCCAGCCCAGGGCCCAGCCACAAGCTTCCTCAGTCCCCATTTTAGAGACCCGGAGGGGAAGCAAACCTTAGAGAAATGTTTCTCAAAGCTCGGCTCCAGGGGATCTCTGTTTGAAAAGCAGATTCCAGCTTATACTTAGAACTTCATGGAAGTGTGAAAATCCCTGCCTAGGACAGAATGAGGGAGTTTTCAGAGCTAAGCCTGGGGGGCGGGGGCTGGAATGTGGAAGGGGCAGCATTTAAGAGACACACTTGCCTTGCTGCCATTCACTCATTCGTTCACAAAGAAGCTATTCTGCACTCTGGGTACTCAGAAGCCCTGTCCTCCTTCAGCTGACGACCCAGTGGGTTCTCCAGGGCCCCCAAGAGCAGAGCCCGAGCCAGCAGGAGCCTCTGCAGGCTCACTGCACTGAGCTGGGTCCAGGCAAGAAGGGACAGAGCGAGGAAATGCATTGCTTCGCACTACCATGTGCTAGGCACTGCCTGTGCATGTACATACACATGTACATGTTCATACACACGAACATATAGTACATACACATGTACATACTTGCATGTGTACAAGGATAGATCCTTTTAGCATCTACCTGTGCCAGGTGCTGTGCTGAGCACTTTACATTCCTTGTCTCAGTGACTGTTCACAACAGCCAGGTGACGGAGTAGATACTGTTATTTGCCCCATTTTTCAGATGAGAAAATGGAGATAAGGCAGCAAATCAGATGCTCAAGGTCACATAGCTACATAGCTAGCAAGAGAGGGGGTCAAGAGGAGGTGCTGGGCCTGGCGGTAGAGGCCACCTGCCCCCCTCGGGCCAGGCCTAGTGGTCTGAGCTGCACCCAGCTGCCCTGGGAAACCCCCTGCCCAGCTCCCGGGGCTGAACCAGCTGACCTCTCTTTGCAGAAAAGATGAGTCCAAGGAGCCCATCGTGGAGGTGCGCACGGAGGAGGAGCGGACCCCAAATCACGATGGAGGGAAGCACACAGAGCCCAACGAGACCACGCCGCTGACAGAGCCTGAGTACGTGGTACCCCCGCAGAGAGCCCACCCCCTTGCCCCTGCCCCCCTGCCCACAGCTCACCCACAGCTCCCGGCCAGGCACCGCAGCCTGGGCGTCTTGGCTAAGAAATGCCGGACTCCACTCTCTCCTGAGAGAAGGCATTCTTGGTTCTGTAGGGTGGCTGTGGTGCCCTGACACGGCTTTTTGCATATGTGGGAGCCCTAGACCCTGTTCCCAGGTCACACACACACATCCTGGAAGCAGCTTACGGGAGCAAAGCTTCACTGAGGGAGATGAGCTTTGAGAATGAGACTTAGCACTCTGTTTTCCTAGAATTCTAGGGTTTTCCGAATTCTTCCTGATAGAGGAGGGGACGGGACCTAGTAAAGCGCTCTGGCCTCCTCTGGCCTCCGCAGCCTCAGGCAGCCTCGGCCAGAAACAGCATCCAGCTGTGGTTGTAATGACCGCCTGGCTGGCGTGGCTGCTCTGGGATGGAAGGGAACGCGGTCTAACGGAAGCACAGAACCTGTGGCTGGAGAACCCAGGGCTCTTGGGGTTGTGAACACCCCTGTCTACCTTTGTCCTGAGCTTGCTCCTTTCACTACCTTACTCCTGACTTGCCCCACCGCGGACCTGGTGTCCAGCAGGGCAGCGGGGCCTCGTTCCCTAGGACTCAGGCTGCTGCAGGGGTGCAGGCTGACTTGAAGGTGCGGCAGGATCAGAAAGGTCCACCGGGGTGTCCCAGGCAGAGTGTGGAGGGATCTGCAGGGAGGAAGGGCCAGCAGGTCCCTCAGCCTGCCTGCGACGTTCTCTGTCGTCTCCTGTCTCCTCTTCGGCCCACCTGGGCCCGTGCTTCCTCTCGCGTCTCGTTTCTCCGTGGGCCGTGTCCCTGCCTGTGCGTCGCTGCATGCCCGCCCGGCCCTCCCCAGCTCCTCCGTCTCGTCTCAGCTTCATTGTCTATTCTCTTCTACTTCCTGTCCTCCCGCAGGCTGCCTGCCGATACCACAGCCACTGTCGAGGACATGCTGCCTTCTGTCACCACCGTCACCGCTAACTCTGACACTATCACCGACACCTTTGCCACTGCTCAGAACAGCCCCACCAGTGAAACCACCACCCTCACCTCCAGTACTGCCCCCCCAGCCACGGCCACGCCCGACTCAAACTCTGTGCCCGCCGGCCAGGCCACCCCTTCCAAGGGGCCCGGAGTGGCCACCGCCTCCCCGCCCCCAGCCTCAGCCCCCCAGGTGGCCCCCCTCGTTGACCTGAGCGACACCCCAACCTCAGCCCCTGCCACCAGCAATTTGTCTTCTAGTGTCCTGGCTAACCAGGGGGCTGTGCTCAGCCCCAGCACCCCTGCCAGTGTGGGCGAGGCCTCCAAGGCCCCCCCAGTGAGCAAACCGGCCCCTGCTCCCGCGCCCACTTCAGCCGGAGCAGCCAGTCCCTTAGCGGCAGCTGCTGCCCCTGCCCTAGAAGCCCCCCTGGCCAAGCAGGAGGCTCCCAGCAGCAAAGGCCCGGACCCCGAGCCCGCCCAGCCCGGGGCCATGAAGAGCCCCAGCGAGGCAGCCACGGCCCTCACTAGCCCGAAGAGCGAGGCTGCCTCTGTCAACGCCATACACCCTGCCCAGGGAGAGGACTTTAAAATGGACGAAGGGAACTTCAAGACCCCAGATATTGACCTTGCAAAGGATGTTTTTGCAGCCCTGGGCTCTCCTGCTCCCGCCGCTGGGGCCAGTGGACAAGCCCCTGAGCTTGCTCCTTCCACTGCAGACAGCTCTGTCTCGCCTGCACCAGCAAAGACCGAGTACGGCCTCTCCTTGTCTCTGTCGTCGGGTTGTGTCCCGTGGTAGCGTGCGTTTGTGTTGTGCTGTGTCCTTCCTGTTAGATGTCTCCTCAGCCCCATCCGGGGCTTCTTTAAGGCAACTCTCAGCCAAAGGGCTGGGATGAGGCAGAGAGCAGAGGGACGCGTAGCAGCTGCGGCGAGCAGCCTCCTGTCGCTAATTAGGCCGTGTTAATTACGTTTCATCCTGATCGTCCTAGCAGCGGGGGCTGTTCTCCCTCAGGAGCCCATGCAGTCAGGCACTGATGAGCATTATTTGGAAAGTGAGCTAAGGAGACCAAGGTGCTCCTATTGGCCACCCTGGGCCCATAGCCAGTCGGCATGTTGTCCAGTGCCGGGCTGTGTCCCCATTAGAGTCCAGGGTGCAGAGAGGTGGGCTGTGGGGAGAGGATACGGTCCAGAGGGCCCCTAAACACCCCCTCCCAGTTGCCCACACACCCCCATCTACTCCTGCTTCTGCTTTGAGAGCCTGGAAGGACTCATAGCTCCCAAGGACCCAATGACTGTTGGGTCTTCAAGTTCAAGGGAAGGTCCTTAAGCCTACATGTTGTTTAAATGGGGTGCCAAGAACTGGATCTGGGGTCTGAGCCATCTGGACACCATTTGGATCTGGGGTCTGAGCCTGCCCAGGGTGCTCTCAGACCAGACTCCACTCCAAGAACTGACTGAGGCAGAGGCAGACCTAGGTTTCCCTAGAGGCTCCTGAGGCTGATGCCACCAAGAGCTACTAAGGCACCGCCAGAGGAGCCCTGGGCCTTACTCGGGAAGGAAAAGGCTCCGTAGCCCTGCCCACTCCACCCACTCAGCTTTCCCTGCAGCATGGCAACCCACTGTAGCCTCTCCGCAGGCTCCCCATGAAAACTGCCTCAGGAGCAAAGAGCATGTTCTCCCCCTGCCCAGGCAAGCCACAGAGGCATCGCTGCAAACTACTGAGCACAGGGGCAGGTGGGGTGGAGTGGGTTGGGATGGGGACAGGCAAGAGCAGGGGGTTTGCAGGGGGGCCCTCTGCAAACAGTCCTGGGGAGCGTAGCCTCGCTGCCCCTCAGAGTGAGGAAAGGCTGCATCTGCTGCCCCTCCTCCATGACAGGTAAGGGCTGGAAGAAAGAGATCTCATTCCCTGGGTCAATAGCACTCAGCTTGGACTGCACGTTAGAATCACGTGGGTGCTTTTAGAAGTCACCGTGTCCACACCAATTCTGAGGGATGGCCCCGGCGTCATGGTTCACAGAGCTCCAAGTGACACTGACAAGCAGCCAAGGTTGGAGGCCGCTGCTCTAGCTGGAGCCCTCCTGCGGGGCTGGCTGAAGGGTGAGCTACTCCAGACCCAAGTCTCAGAGCTGTCTCCCCATTCTCTGCAGGAAGGGCCCAGTAGAAGCAAAGTCTGAGAGCCAGGAGACAGACACGAAGCCAGCACCAGCCGAAGTGAAGACGGTCCCCAACGACGCCACACAGACAAAGGAGAACGAGAGCAAAGCGTGATGGGTGACGAGAGCCACGCAAAGATCAGAATTAAAAGTGACACCACAGCTTCACCAGAGCATTTCCAATATCTCACACTCACACACACACACACACACACACACACACACACACACACACACCTCACCCCTCTAGTGTCTTTTGCCTTTAAAAAAAAAAAAAAAAAACTAAACATAAACATGGGATCGCCTTTTTGTAGGCTTATAGAAAGGGTTCCTTTGTTGTGCACTCACTTGTAAGAAAATGAGACAAAAAGGTTAACCCCACAGCCAAACTAGGACACTCCGTTCCCTGAAACCATTTAAAAATCAAACAAAAGGACCCCAAATTAAAAATCTAGGGAGCTCAGAAAAAAAAAAATCTAGATTCAGGAAGACCGCACTTGGCATTGCCCAGTTGGCACAGACCCGTTTCAGAGAGAAACACTTCCAGGCACTCTAACTAACCGATCAACAGAGTCCAAGTTTATTTTTGTACTCAGTCCAGTTTGAATTCTGTAAAAACCTCATAAGTAAGTTATAATTTCTGTTCACTTTGTATTTGTTCTGTATGCAAAGTGTGTCACCCCTTCTAGCTGACTTCAGTTCCCACGTAGACTCTCGTTCCGTAGGAAGAATGCCAAATTGCAGCTTCTGGGGCTAGATCTCAATTTGCAGTATTCAGACTTCTTTTTATTTTCACTCCTTTTTTCTTTTTTTCTTTCTTTCTGCCAACTTTGCTTTCCAGTGTTTACAAGCTGACAAATGTTTAACTTCAATTGCATTTCAATGTTCATGTAAAGTAGTTGCCTTTTACTTTTCTTTTCCTTTCTTTTCTTTTCTTTAAGTTTCAAATACTGCGTAGGTGGGAGGATCACCACAGGCTCGCTGTAGCCCAGAAACTTCACACGCATGACTGTTTACAGTGGTAATCCCCTATTCTGAGCTGACATTTTTGCCTGCCTCCACCTCAGGTGAAAATCCATCTCTTTCCAGACTGGTTTTGCTTTTTGGTTCTTGGTTCTTTTTTTGTGTTTCCCTGGGGGTAGACCGCTTTCTAGCAGCAGCCGCCGGCCGGGCCTGGGAAAAGGGATCTGCTCCCAGCTTCCCGAATATCGGAAAGGTTCCTTAGGCTTTGTTGGCTAGCAGAGGAGACTATGTAGCTGCGGCTGGTCTTGGTGAACACACGTTTTGACCCCAAACATCCCCCTTTTGTAGAAAGCCAAATAAAATATATACATACAACTCTTTTTGAGCCCAGAATCTAGATTTGAGTGGGAGAAGACGTGTGCTTCAGGGGATTAGTGTCTTTTTTTGGAAATCTGTTGAAGAAAAGACTATCGGCCTTCTGTTCACTTAGGCAGCATTTGTAGAAACAAAAGAAAAGGGGAAAAAACCCCAACCTGCTGTCTGGAGTCATAACACAACTTTCCCGGATTGGAAACAAAGTGGGGAGAAATACAGAAACTTTACGGGGACGGGAGGGGGGGAAAGGGAAAAGCCAGCCCTTTGTATAGAAATTTTGCTTTTTTTCTCATTCTACTTTAGAACTGCAAGCTTGTACACTGTGGACGCGTGAATATTTTAGTGTGAAACGTGTTTTTGTCATAGTATTGAAATAAAACGTCAACATAGTTTGGTTGTGGAAGGTATAGCAGATAGTTCAGAAAAAAAAAATATTCAGGAAAGAAAATTTACTCTAAAAAAGGAATTGAAGCCTTGAAACAAAGAAAATGAATAAACGTGATGATGATGATGATGATGATGCTAAGTAAATGGAAGTCAGGTCTCAGCACACGCTGCTTTCCGAAGGTGCGACAGCAAGAGGGGAGGGTGGTGAGACCACCGAGGCATGCTGTGGGCCACCCCCAGGTCCTGACACTTCTGCAGCCTGATCAGTGGCAATGTGCTAGATTATCATTTCAAACTGTGAAAAGTAATGGTCTTGTCATTTGCTCAGTGTGGGGTTATTTTGCATTTTCTCATCTCCTGGGGATGAAAATGGAGGATCCCAGGCCACAGTGCTCTGCCCCTTTGATTCTAGGGCCGCCCCAATTCTGGTTCTGAGGCACAGGCCCGCAGGCACAGACACCTCAAAGGCAGTCCTTAGAGCACACGGCAATATGGGAGCGCCTGCGTGTCAGGTGGAGGGTCCGCGGGGACTGGTGGCTCTTCCGTCCCCAGGCTGTCAGTGGGACCAGTTCTGCATCCTGTGATGTTCGTGGCTCTGACCGAGGCCAAGCTCACACGATACCTCACGGGGACTGCGTTTCGTTCCGAGCCAGTGTGGTTAGGCAAACTGATTTTTTGTTCCCATGATGAGGGAGAAAAAGAGGTGTAGTCAACCCTCACATAACCTGGCCCAGGACAGCCGACCCTCACCCTGCACCAAGAGTCCACCGTGAGCTGCAACCCAACCCTCTGCCCACCTTTTGGTCGGCTTCTCTCCCAGTATACATAGATTTGTATCTGCATGCGTGAGCTTTCCTTTCCTTAAAAATATAAAATAAAACAGAGCGATGCTTTCTCTAAAATCAAAGAGGGAGTCACTTTATTTTCAAGATGTTCTATCTTTTATGTTAAGAGATAAAAGCTTATAGTTTTTTTTTCTTTTTTTAATTTTTTGAAGGGGGATCAATTCTGCCGATTTCCAATGTCTATGTGTCTATATGTGTATGTGCCATACATATGTATTCACATGAATGCCGGCACGGCCAAGTCCCGCTGGGGCATGCGGGCGGACGCCTGGGCCTCTGCTCCCTGGGGCCGCGGCGTATGCAGCGCAGCCCTGGACGTGGGACTCTATTTTCACACTTTTGTACGGAGCCTTCGAGCCCCAGGTTTTCACTCTAGGCTGTCTGTCTGGATGGCGGTTTTCAGACCTCCATTAACATCCCTACCCAGCATTCCCAACTTCGGGGGCCTTCTCTCTTGTTATAAACTTTTTACCAAGTGAAACATTGAGACCACCTTTGTTTCCATTCTCACTGGTGTAAATACTGAGTACTAACTGAGAATTTTGACTTTGCATTCTGTCAGAATACTTGTGTTCAATAAAAACTGAAAGGAAAAAAAAACAGTCATGGTCAAACTGGGATTTATTTCAATTCAGAGTGAGTGTCGTGGATCAAATCAAATATGGAAGAGCGGTGTTTTTTGTTTGTTTGTTTGTTTGTTTGTTTGTTTGTTTGTTTTGACCTGGGAACAAGCTCAGTTAAATGCAGTGTCTGGAGTTTCAATGGCCTGCATGATGGTTTCTAATTTTCCTCTCAGGATGATAGAGTCCTTGTTTAGAAGGTCCAGGGGTCAGATTCAAAAAGATTTTATGCAAATCCTGGTTCTGCCACTTTTTTGACCTTGGAAGAGTTCCTTATAATCTCCCCAAGACTCAGTTTTCTCTTGTGACAAACTGGAACTACCAAGCTAATAGAGCTGAGGTAGTGGTTAGTGAATAAAGCACTGAGTCTGAGAGCCAGTGTAGCACTTTCTTGGCACATAGTAGGTACTCAACAAATGAGAGTTAGTGCTGTTGGCATCCCAGGTGTGTGACAGCGTCCAACTCAAAGTCCCAACGCTGCACTAATCTGAGCGACGCCTCCTTTTTTGTGTCCTATGTGCCTCATCCTAGTCATGGCTTGGATAGTGAGTCTTTCCCTGCTGTGGTGTCTGCATCCTCCCAGGACTGGCTCTTTCGCTGGCCCTGGGCCTTTTCTAATGACACAGAGCCAAATGCATCTATGTGGTTTTCTGTGCCACAATGTCCAGCTGCCTGGAGGGGGCAGGGGTAGAGCACATTGCTTACCAAGACTTGGAGAAATCATACAATGATACCCCTCCTCCTTAATCTATGAAGTCTTGTTTCCAGAGCCTTCCTCCTCCAGACTGGTCTCTCGGATTCACTGCATATTTATTGAGCATCTCCAAGGGGCTTAGGATATAGCAGCAAATGAAAGAGCTCGCTCTCTTGTGGATCATTCATTCCAGTGTGGGGGTGGGGCAGACAATAAGCACACAGATGCTTTGTTGTGGTCACTAGGCCGATTCACCAATTTCCCAGTTCTCTTTCTCCTTCCGGGCACACAATAGGCTTACGCTTCTTTGATCATTTAAAAAGAGCGTGCATGGCCTTGTGGCTGGCTGTGGTCAGGCAGCATACAAGCAGCATAATGCATATCATTCCTAGGAGAAGCTTTGACAGCCAGCGTGTCTTACGGTGGCCCTCTTCCCCAACACAGCCATCAGCAGTGCTGCAGGTGGTGGCAGTGCCATCATCTGGGTCCACAGTGAGGGATGTGAGCAGGTAACTCATGACAGACGAGAAGGGTGCCTGTGAAGTAAACCCAGGGGTAACTGTTTCATAGCTGGCTCTCTGGAGGAAGGGATAGGGGATGTACATATGTGTGGGGAGGGGAGGTGCATATGGATGCACACATATGTGTGCATACATTATAAACTTCATTGATATAGAAAATGTAATTTTCAAGAAATAAAATATATAGTATTCTATAGTTAGATTCCATATATCCTGTTGAAATTCACAGACGGCTTTTGATTTTTGCTGAAGTTTAGTATCCATAATTAACTTATGGTGGTAATTGACTAATGAGTGCAGTTCCAACATAAATGTTGGTTAATATATTCATTTATGTTAACTAGTGAGACAAAAGTGGCACAATAAAGATATTTGTGTCAGAAACTCACTCATCAATGGTGTGAGCGACCTCTGCTGAATCATATAGGAGTTTCTGAATACTAGAATACTGCCTCAATTTTCTGTGCTATTTACCATGTAATGGCTACAGTCATGGCACATTTTAAAATTTAATCTGCATCATAAATATCTTCCCTATCACTTTCTTAAGTCTAGACAGACACAAAAAAGAAATCAAACCCTGATTTGTAGCATTTACTGCTTTCAGAGGTATATAAATATTCTCACTGTGGCTGATTTCAATGTGTCACTGGACAAGAAGTTAAGTCCAGCTGCACAGCAGAAAATCATTAAGGTATTTCCAGCATAAAGATAATAGAGACATAAATAGCTGCAAGCACAGACATAATACCGTCCCCGAAAATAAGACATCCTCCGAAAATAAGACCTAGCGCATGGAAAGATAAGACATCCCCTGAAAATAAGACCTAGTGCAACTTTGGGAGAAAAAATTAATATAAGACACTGTCTTATTTTCGGGGAAACAGGGTAGCACATGATAGTGACAGCCTGGAATCGGTGGAATCAGATGGTGTTTCTCGGGGAAAGGGGAACCTCTATTTGGGACCTGGGAAGAGCAAATGGGAGGCAAAGCAAATAGCTGGATCTGTGAAGGATCTGCGGGTCCCAGGTCTAGATGTCCTGGTTTGCCTTCCAGAGACAGCACTGTGCTATTTCCTCCTCCTGAACAGGTGAGCCCAAGTACTTGGCTGTCAGCTCCAGCTCAGAACAAGGTAACCTACAGGAGTCTGTTGTTTGGAGTGCTTCCCATTATGATGGCCATCAACAGCCATTGGAAATGTGGCTGTGAGCATGAGGAGCAAAGTTGAGAACATCTCTCCAACAGGGGATGAATCTTTCCAAGGGAGCCACAGTTTGGATCCCAGGGGTCCAGCCCACAAGTCCTCACACACTCTCAGTCCAGGAGGAAAGACAACAGGTTCTTTGAGACAACGTGAGGGTCTCTTGTGAGCAGCCAGCATGTACACAGGGCCTTGACTGGGAAGTCAGAGTAAGCACTGGTCCTCCATCATCTTCTACACCAGTGCTCTGAGTCTCCTGAGACACTTGTCTAAACTGCACATTCCTAGATCCCATCCCCACAAATACTGAGGCTACAGATCTGGAGCAGCAGATTCCACTGAGGACGGTCCCTGGACTGCATGTGAAGAACACGAGCAGCAGGCGGCTGGGGAGCATCTTATTCTGCCCTGGCCAGCTAAGGGCTGGGGAGACTCTCCTTCAGAAGGCTCCTCAGTCCCATAGGGACAGCAGGAGGTTCTGTGGACCCAGCTTAGTAAATTAGTAAATGCCACAGTAAGCAATGCCAACTAATGCCACAGCTTAGTTTTCACAAAAAAACATATGACTGGAAATGGTGCAGAACCCCAGGAGGACCCAGTCTTCCTCCAACACAGCTGCCCAGATGGCCATGGATGCCCCCAGGGCCTGGGAAATGAGCACTCCACCTCCTCTCTGCTCATGAATTGAGTTGTCTAGTCTGCTAAACTCCGAAGGAGATAATACTATCTAACACTGCTTTGGTCCCTACAGTGTACAAAATGCTTTCATGCAGTAATAACAATTACACAATATTAATTATTGTTGTGGTGACTATGATTAATCAAGGGCTTACTACATGCCAGAAACTTTAAAATATCATCTGTCGATCTTTTTAGTACACACATGTGTTTGCCCATCCTTTTTCCTTTTTTCTCTCAACAGCACCTCAGTTTGGGGGAAGGGAGTTGAAGTTTCCCCTTCAACTCCCAGGACTTCTATTGAAACTACTGGCAAAAGAAGCTCTATTCTCACTAAACCCACGAGAAAAGTAGAATGTGGAGGAGAAAGAGTACCTGAGATTGGAACCAAAGCACAAAAAAACAGAACAAACTCAGTGGTATTAGAGCCCCTGGATCCAGCCGCCTAAAAAAGTCATGAGCTTTTCAATTTCATGAGCCCACATATTTTCCTTTACTGAAGTCTATTTGGATGGAATTTTCTTTTTACTTGAAACCAAAAGAATCCTATTAATTTCTACATGAGAAATAAGCAAGTGAAAGTGGATGGTTGTATGCAACAAATTCAAAAATAGGGAATTGTTAAAGTCAAGGTGAGGGGAACATTTATTCAACACCATGTGCCACTTCCTATTCTAACCCCTGAATATAAAGTGAACACCAGGACAGACAAGAGTCATGCTCTTCTGAACTATCAATAGTTTCTGGTGGGAAATGCCACAGTAAGCAAATTAAACAATAGTTACTAGGAGTAAGTGCCACAGAGAAAATTAAAACTGGGTGATGTGATAGAGTACGACCAGGTGGCTACTTTAGATTGGTGGTCAGGAAGTGGTATAGTGGGAATGCACTCCATCAACTTGGTTACACTGGGAACTACATTTCCCAAAATCCTCTTCCAGTTAGAGGATTCTGGTCCATTACTTTCATAAAGACTTTGGCAATCAGATGCAGAAATGAATAAATGTAAGACTCAGTGAGTTCCAACATGTTTTTACTCTCCTCCACTCAAATCCAGCTGACCATCACCATCCTTATGTGGGCCCTCCTGTTATAATTGAGTTTTGATTGCTACTGGCCCATTCATGCATGGGATCAACCCTCTGGCTAGCTGACTATAAGGATCAACCCCAACTATAGAGTGTGGACTGCTCTGCAGGTGCTGATCATATGAAGTAGAATTCATCTGAGTAGGGTTTGGTGCCCACTGAGATCTCCCTTTGTATATGCTGGTTGTGAAGCTTACCTGATGTCTGAAACTGCCTAAGGTCAGTTTTGGAAGGACATTGGTGAGAGCCAATATAAGATGTTGCCTGTGACTGGCTCTTGGGAACCTTCTTGTAGTTATAAGCAATCCATAGTTTGTGACTGCCTCTGCTGGGCCTTGGTATGTGCAGGAAAAGTTCTAAGTTGTGTACCAAGGCTGGCTTTTACCAGCACCAAGCCCCTGGACAGGTCAGCAAAAGTCCCAAGGCATCCTAAAACCCAACTTCACCATCCTCCATCTGCTGGCTGCCTATTAGGTTTAGTCACTCAGCAATGCTTAAACACCACTGGATGTGATGAAAGGGAGTATAGAGGGGAGGGGGATATTGCTTTCCCCCAGGCTCCTATTGCACAAAAGGGAGTGCTCAACCCAATAAAGATAGCATCTACAATATGGGAGAATGACTGAGCACAAGAATCTTGGTGGCTGTCCCTTCAGAGTCATAAATCCCAGATTCA